GGTATATTTATACAATGGAATACTATTCAGCCATAAAAATGACAACTAATGCCATTTGCAGCAACATGGATGCTCCTGGAGAATGTCATTCTAAGTGAAGTAAGCCAGAAAGAGAAAGAAAAATACCATATGAGATCGCTCATATGTGGAATCTAAAAAAAAAAAAAACAAAGCATAAATACAGAACAGAAATAGACTCATAGACATAGAATACAGATTTGTGGTTGCCCAGGGGGTGGGGGGTGGGAAGAGATAGACTGGGATTACAAAATTGTAGAATAGATAAACAAGATTATACTGTATAGCACAGGGAAATATATACAAGATCTTATGGTAGCTCACAGAGAAAGGAATGTGACAGTGAGTATATATATGTTCATGTATAGTTGAAAAATTGTGCTCTACACTGGAATTTGACACAACATTGTAAAATGATTATAAATCAATAAAAAATGTTACAAAAAATTGAGAGAAGGGAGCTTGGAGGGCCGTGCGGGGCACTAGGGGAAATAAAAAGTGAACAGCCATTAAAATACTTGAGAAACAGTCTCTTATCTGGAGGCGCTCCTGAGGAGGAGGCCTTGTACCTGCAGAAAACTGTACCTAGTGACTCGAGGTGGCCATAAAAGTGACCATGTGCGACACAAGGAACAGTGCTGGGGAGGGTCCCAGGAGAGGGCTCTGGGCTGGAGAGACATAGGAAGTGCCTCTGGATAAGGGGAATTTGAGCCAGATTCGGCTAGGAAAGGGGAATAGCATATTCGGAGGGAAAGGACCATCTGCAAGGGTGCAGAGGCAGGATTCTACACAGGTGGAATTTGGCGGGTGGGGAGGCGACTAGAGCCCCTGGTCGCAGCAGGAATGGCGTATGTGGCCAGCACACACACACAGGCAGGACAGAGTGTGGGGACTTGAGTGCCAAGTTCGAGAACTGTAACTCCATCCCGTGGGCCTTAAGGAACACCCACTCCTCATCGCCCAGAAATCCCCTGTTAGGGAGATTT